GCTGGCCATCCATTTTTTCAAAGATATGATGATCTCTTTTTGATGAGAAAACACACCCTTTACCTAATATAAATTATTTTTGATCTAATTGCTGAACTGAGTAAGGACGACTTAATATTAGCTATTTTAATTGTCAATGAGTTTTTAATAAATGACGCAAGAGGAAGTTGAAAAATAATAATATATTAAAAAATGAAGAATTTCTGCTGATATGTTCGTGGTTATTTTAGGGTGAGAGAGAGAGATACACTTTCAGCAGATAACGGGAAGGCTTAGGTCTTACAGCAAGGAGACTCTGACTGTGATGGAAACTGTTGGTTTAAAGAAATTGCATCATTGAAAGAAGGATCGAAATTTTAGTGGTAAATTAAGACCTTTTTTTTGTAGCAAGTGCTCCATCTTTGTGAAATCACTATTTTTAAGGAATGGCTGATTTTTTTCATGTGATATTTGTTTTTTTTTAAATCTTCCAGTAGTTTTTCTTCCGAAAGAGTCCAAGTTAATATGTAATTTATACCAGCTAGATTTCTGATTGATGCATCTGTAACAGATTTTTAAGCCAGTGCGAAATCCTACCAGAGCGTAACACACTACCAATACTTTGGTAGTGTACGAACTGCAAAATTAAGCTCTATATCTGCAAATTTAGTTGAAATTGAAAGGGAAATTTATAGTAAAAGATTTACCAGATAATTTGGATTTCTCGCCTTAGTATACTATTATTTTCTGTGATTGGTACTATTCATTAAAGGCTAAAAGTAACCTAGGTGTTTTCTACAAAATACCCATAAAGGTGAAAACCTCATAAGTAATATGCATTTTGAAAAGAACAATATAATCAGTTTTGATATATAACTCAGCATTCTTTTACTTTACTTAATCTTGATTTTCTACAACATATAATAATCTCTTTCAAAGCAGTAAGAGTGATCTCTGCTTCACTCAAAAATACTTAATGTAAGCTGATGGCTGCTTATAGATCAGCTAAGAACTAATAGAACCAAGCTAACAGCCACTGCTAGTTTTCTTTTCTTTTTTGGGAACGACAAATTTAGTGACATTTTAGGTGTTGTTGAAAAATTTGGCAATGACAAAGGAAAAGATCAGTCTGAGATTACTACCTTCAACAAGCAGCAAGTGACTCTTTCATATACAAAGTGGCCAGTCTGACAGCAGGATCATTACTCAGCAAACTGTACCTGCAGTCAGAACTAAGAGGCCCAAACCATTTTGGTTCATGAATTGTCCAAAATCCTCCATCTGATTTAAATGCAACCCCATTGACTTATTCTCTAAATCATCTCTAAGCTTTGTGTATCTGCTAGTGTAACTTGATTTTGGTAGTTTGGTTAAATCTAATTAGTCTACTAAAAGTAACTAAATGATTCCATAGGCTTCATCTGTATTTTTAAACCTATTTAGAGTGTTTTTTACTCACTTTTGGTCTTACTACTGATGATATTTATCTTCGAAGAATTACCAAATATGAAAATGATGCAATGTATAATTAAGAGACAGTAAATTCTCCTGCTGAGGAGCTTGCAACAGAGGTAAACAGCAACTCCTAGTCTAATTAGCAGTATCTGAGGTGGCTTCCACAAACAAGGTACACCGTGAGCTGCACAGACGGCACCAATCAAATGTACCAATCTCCTACATTTCTGATAAATTCTTACATATCTCACATTTTCTGACAGTTGCAGAAACAATAGGTATGGATAGTAGCAAGTTTAATGAGTAAGTTGAGTGCCTAGCACAATATATACAGTATTTTAATTATTTCTGTATTATTATTTACATGTTATTAATATTTTTATATTATCATTTTAAATACCTTATATTAATAACTTCATCTTCATGCTTCAAACCGCTAAATGCCACTCTCATATTGCTTTTAGAATGCAGAATCTACTCTTTTTAATGGGTGGAAACTAATACTTTTAGCACCTCCTAAAAAGAATAGTATGTGCAGTTTACAGTGTCTAGTTTTGAATCTTTGAAGATCAGAGTCTAAATCTCTCCTCTGGCCTGTCTGTGTGAGCGTGTATGTGTTGTCTTGGGTTTATACAGAGGTAACAAAGTAAAGGAAATGCAAAAGTATTGCCTGAATTTTGTTTAGGAACAAAAATATTTAGTAATTAGAATATAATATGTACAAGTATTTAATTCAATAGAAGAAAAGTGCTCAAATAATCTCATTGCTTCTCAAATTCTTTGTAACAACTCAAGTTGAACCACATTCGGATTTTTTAAACATTGGTTGCTTCCACAAGAGTCACCTTGGGGATAGTTACTGGTTATACCTTATATAAATAAATAAATCACTTTAAACAAGCACATCAAATGACCACCTCTAGTTTGGTGAATTCAAATTAATTAAGGTTGTCATTAACCACAAGGACTTCTCCAGCAACCTGAGGCAGGTTTTAAATCATTAGAGAAATATCTTACTTTAAAAACTAAACTTTGTCATTGTGTATGTTCCTTTCTTTGCAGTATACTGCTAACATTATATACCCATTTTATTATATTACCTTTAAAAGTATCTGATAATGTGTAATCTGTGGATTACACATAATGTATTATAAAAAGTATTTGATAAAACCTATAAATTGAGTCCTAAATGCTATCTGTTTGAAATAAACAATTCCTTAGAGTATTCACTGCATAACACACATAATTCCCTTAAAAAAGAGCTTTAGCCCTTAGCAGGTTTACTTTTAATTCTTTCTTTTAAACACACATCAAACTTTGAAAGTCATGACTAATAAACAGTCTTGGAAATGTACTACACAGACTTCCAAACCTTGGAAAAATGTTATATAAAATCTCTTAGATGGTCATATTCATTAAAAGAAAATATTACATTATATCCAACTAATATATCTCTAGCATGCTAGAACCTTATTTTATAAAGTATTCATAAATCGCAAATAATTTGCTATGACTGGATAAAGAGATCATTGGGGCTGTGTGCTTAAACACAACCATCCCAAAGGTCTGTTTAAGTGATTAAATAAAGGCCTTTAGTGTGAAAGTGAGTGTAAAAGCATCCGTACTAGAGAAAATATATATATTTAAATTTTTTAAGCCCTTCTTGCCTACACATTTTATCTCTTAATAGATTTAATTTCTTTAATATTTGTTCATCAACTTACTGCTTTCAATTTCCTTTATCTCCAAGATAACAGAGTATTTTGCTCAATGCTTTGCTCGAACGGGTTATCACTTTTAATTATTTACAACCATAGGATCAAGGGACCAGAGGATTATGCATGAAAGGACAGGCGTGCAAAAACGTGCATCCGTCCGGCGCAATAAATCCCTCTTTAATTTCTTTTTGTTCTGCATTTCATCGCTAATTACCCTTTCTAAAATGTCCTTTGCCTCCTTTATCCGACCCATTATTCTTCATCCAGATCTTTTGTGTTGCTTTACATCCAGTTCCTGAACATATGGCACTCTCTTTGTTTTCTGTAGCACATTACCATTAGGCTATAAGCAATTACCCCACTGGGCATACAGTATTACCCAGGAAATTTAATATGAAAAAAAATATATTGTTTATAGTGTGCTTTATCCATTTGGCCTTTTACCTCTTTGTTAAGAAACTTTGGTACTTTGTTGTAAAACCTATTAAAAAGACATAGGTAAGTTCCGAATTGTATTAATAATGTTTAAATGTCAGCAAACTTGGGGCTCAAGAGATGACTAAAGTTAGGGGAAGAGCATAGATCTGTTATAAGAGACATTTACGTTTGCATTGCTGAAACATTGAATATTAAGGTGGCTGAGGGTGATAACCGTTATACTGAGGTGAGGGCAGAAAAACCTTGTGAAGTTTAGCCAGTCTAATATCACAGCCACGTACTTCTGACCTTTGGAGTGTGAAACTGAATTTGAACAGCGCTCCTGCCTGTGTAGATGTTAGCTCAGATTTAAGAATATCTATTGACTCTGTACAGCTTTTAGATGGGCTGTATTCTTATTTTACTCTGAGAAACAACTATCTCCACTGAGTAGTTGTTAGCTCATCTGTGTAATTGGTAGCTTGACTCTCAGTGGCCATTACGTTCTATCCACTGAATCGTTACCTTGAGTCTTTGACTTGTTAGGGCAAAAAAGTTAGCTATACTTATAACAGGATTTTTTTTTCTCTCTGAGTGCTGAGCACAGCAGGTAAACTCAAAAGAAATGCAACACTGCTCTAATCTCACAGTTTACACTGAAAAAAATCTAAATCTACATAATTCATTTTTTCTTAAAATAAGTGCATTTCTTCTTAAATTGAGGAGATTAAAGAGACATTTTGCCAATGGAACAAGACAATTTAGATTTAAGATAAGAAAACACAATTGCATCTTCTTATTTCAAGTGCATTTCATCTAATTATCTTATTTTAAGGGTAAAAATACTAATTCCATTGGCATATTATCAAATTTACCTATTCAAATCAAGGGTAAATACACTTAATTTAAGAAATGTTTACTTATTTCTAGATCATTTTTGCAGTGTAAATGTGAAATATGCTTCAGAATTTACCATTTTAGCCTCCTCTTAACTTTCTTACATCAGCAAATTTAGACAACAACAACATGTGGAACCAAACTGCATAACATAGTTTTCAAATATCCATAAAATTGAGCAAAAAAATAAAATAAAAAATGGGGCTAAATGAGAGTAAAATATTTAGCAGGATAACTTGGATTGGTAGTATAAAAAAACATATTTTACATTTTGGCTCTTTATCTGGATATAAAACATAACTTAGATTTGTAGCACAGTTGGAATTTAATTATGAAAGATACTATTCTGCATATTTTGTTCAAAGACGATGACACGCAGATGCTATGTGGCGCTTGAGGGTTTGTGCAAAAGAAAGGCTTTTTTCAATGCTATTACAATTACTACCCATCATATCTTCATCATCTCCCAGAAAATACACACCTGTCACTGTGTGAGTATATCAATGCACCAGTGCTGGTGTGCATGTTGTAATGATCACAGATTTAAGTTTTGTACTTAAGAACACCAGATCACAAATCAAATGGTGCTAAAGATGAGGGAAAAGAAGTTTCATATGTTTAGACACACACACACAAACATGGCTGACAAGATCTAGGCCATCTCTGAAAGTCGCTGACGCAAACGGAAGATGTGGACAGAGCAGATGGCTGTAGAAATGAAACAGTGTGACAGCCTTACTTTAACATGGCTTTGTGTCAAGCTAACATTAGCAGAAAACCCTGCAGGGAAATAAAAAGCCATTTGTGAAAAATGTGCAGATTTTCTCATTGCACCCATCACGGCGAAACCAGGAAGACCTTGCTGGGATATTTGGTTGACCGGAGGAATTCTCGCTGGCATGACGGCTGGAGGGCGTCCTTCCAGCTGGTGAAACAGGCTGTGGTGACATGCTTTAAAACACTAGGCCACTGTTCAGCTCTATACTGAGTTATTGCTTATACACCCCAGGTTCAGCTGACCGTAGAGCGCTCTTTAATAAGAAGGTGGAGAGCTGGTGTGGTAGAGGTCTAAGAAGAAAAAAGGGGGACTTCCCCCTTCTCAAACTTCTCCCTGCATGGACGCTTTAACACCAGAAAGCTTCAGGTTCAGATCCCAGGCAAGAGGTTGAAGTTTGCATCAACGATGTCCTTTAGATGTCCGCTGGTGACTTTCACCCTAGATTGTTCACCCTCTGTGTCTCTCAGTGCTAGGAAGAGGAGGTTTTGGTTTTGGACTGAGCATCTTTCTTGCCGTTGTTAAGCACAGGTGAGTCACTGGAGGTCTTGGGTGTTTTTCTAGGTGGACTCTGTTCAGCAACATCATGTAAGGAGGGCTCCCTGTACATCGCCACTGGGTAGAAAAAATGTAAAGGGATGGAAGCATTATTAAAACTGAGAAGGACATAATTGAAGTCATCACAGCTTTTGTCCCAGATTGGAAAGAAATACAATGTCATCCTTTAGCCAATTTCTTTTATAGCTTGTTATTGAAGAACCTTCTTACATAATTCTTTCTATATGTAGGAATTATCTTTAATGGTATAGATTGTGAGAATGTATTAGTTTTCTGGGTTTCCTGGCACAGATCTGGCAACTTTCTCTAGTTTACATCTGAATAATAATAATAAAAAAAAAGAAATTAAGAGTACAAGGAAGAAGAAAAGGAAGATAGTAAGGACATGATAAGGACAAGCTGAAGAAAACAAAGGGTATGACATGAAGAAAGTTAAGGACATAATGCTGGAAAGAAAGAAGAAATTATACAATAAAAAAAGAAAGAAATCACAGAAGAAAGGAAATAACAAAAGACAAAGAAGAAAGTAAGAAATGGATACTAATAAAGTTGTAAAGAGGAAGAAAAACAAAGAGAGTAAGAAATAACAAATGCGTAGAAGAGGAAGGAAGGAAGAGAGAAAGGACACGAGGATGGACGGAAAAAAGAATGAATGCAAGAAATGACAGAGAATAAGAAGATCTGGCTTCCATCTGTCTCAGTCTATGTCTATTCTAAACTTTCGGTGAGAGTAGGTGCCTCGGGAGTTTGTTGGTTCTAGCTAA